GGAAAGATGCCTGGCCTTGGAAAGCGCCCCGCAATGTTCCTGAAGGACTGTCTCAGCAGGACAACGGTGTGTTTTCTGGCACCAAGAGGCAGGTAGAGATGAGGAACCCGGGGCTCAACCCACTCGCTAGGAGCCTCCCACCCCGCCTCCCCGACTCCCACCCTCAGTGCAAGAACCACCCAGTCCACCTTTGCTGTTCCCGGGCTGATGGACTCAGTTCACGTTAATTTCATTCCTCGTTCTGTGGCCATTCTAAGCCAAGGCCGAAAGGCCCCCAAGGTCACGTAGCTAATGCCAGCTGGTGATGGGACCAGAGCCTGGGCCCTGCCACCCACCCAGCCCAGCACATTCGCCGCCCTCACCTCCCCACATTCTGGAACTGCCTGTACTTGCCTGAGATGTCTCCGCAGAGGGTAGGGGACTCCGCACACTGTCCACTGCCCAGCCCTTAGTGACAGCCGTTCCCATTTATTCAGTCTGATCATGGTCCCTGCAGGCCATTGTTACCAGGTCAGCCTATGTCTGTTGCCTGCTGAGCGAGGACTTCACAGTGTTCCTACCCCCAGATAGCTTGCTGGTCTCACTGAGAAGCAGCTGGGTGCCCATGACCGGCAAAGCAAGACAAGAATACACGATTTGTCCTGGGTGGACCAAACCCTTTAGACCACAGATGACCCCAGGGATTGTGGGAAGTCTGGGAAGGCATCCTGGAGGAGTTGAGAGCTGAAATGGGATGCGAAGAGGGAGACTGAAGAGAAAGAACATTGAATTGGGCCAATAAGGGACCCATATCTCTTTCCCTGGCCAAAGTGATTGGTGCAGGGATGGGCATGTGACTAGGCTGGACCAATCAGAACCAAGCCCAGGCCTCTGCTGGAACTACTGAGAAAGGGGCTTTTTTCCCACTGGAGTTTCTAAGTTCATAGACTTCGGCTGGTAATGTTGGTGATCTCAGCACCAAGATAAAACCAGCACAGAACAAAGCAAAGCTGAGAGAGAGAGAAATATTCATTGATTGATTGATTCATTCATTCATTCATTCAGTAAATGCATCATTAGTGTCTATCACACACTGTTCAAAGCACTGGAGATTCAACTGTTAGCCAGGCACACATGACACCTGCTCTAGTAGTGTTTCCATTCCTTGTGGGCAGTCAGGCCAATAAATAAATAAATAAATAAATAAATAAATAAATAAATAAATAAATAAATAAGAGCCAGCCGAGTGGCTCAATTGGTTAAGAGCTTGCTCAAGAGCACAAGCTCTGAGCAACAGGGTTGCCAGTTCAATTCCCACATGAGCCAGTGAGCTGCGCCAGAGCTGAGTTGCCAACAGGTGGCGAGATGGCTCAGCTGGTGAGAGCACATGCTCCTAACAACAAGGTTGCCTGTTTGATGTTGGGCTACGCCCACCCGCAACTAAAGACTGAACTCGGCACCTTGAGCTGAGCTGCCACCCGGATGGCTCAGTGGATAGAGCATGTGCTCTTAACAACAAGGATGCTGGTTCGACTCCCGCATGGGATGGTGGCTATGCCCACCTGCAACTAAGGTTGAACGCAGCACCTTGAGCTGAGCGGCACTATTGAACTTGGAGCTGAGCTAGCTGTGCCCTCCACAACTAAGATTGAAGGACAACAGCTTGGCTGTTCCCTTCCCCAAATTCCCCAACACTGTTTCCCTTCCCTGATTCCCCAATAAAATCTAAACAATAAAATAATAAATAAATAAAAAGGTAATACATCAACAAGATATTTTCAAATAATTATGAATACCAAAAAGAACAACGGGTAGCCTGATGGAGCAGAAAGTGACTGGAGTGGGAAGGTCCTGATTTAGTTGATGGCCAAGGAGGTTTCTCTGCAAAGGTGACATTTCAATTGAGACCTGAATGACAGGGAGACAGCCATGGGACGATCTGGGAGTCAGGCCATCCAGGCAGCGATGACAACACGTGCAAATGTCCTGAGGCAGGAATGAACGGAATCCAGAAAACAGCATTTGAGCAACTGGATCCAACCATGCCTGAAGCTGAAACTTTTCAGTGACAGTGGATTAATTAATTGTTTTGTTGTTATTAAACTAATTTCATTGGGGTTTCTTAACAGGCATCTGAAAAAGTGCGGTCATGTGAAAGAGTTCTGACACTGTGGAAACTGTCAATCTCTGAAACTGAGGCCCTTGTCCTGTTAGGCAAAGGAGAATCACGGAAGGTGTTTAAACCGGGGAGAATCTTCCTGACCTCACTGCTGCTTCTCTTTAGGCTTTTCTCTCAAATGTCCCATCCTTCCTCCCCTTCTGCCTCCACTCTCCACCCATATTGAACATGGCTGCTGTCAGTTCCCTGAAGGTCCTGACCTCCAGTTCTTCACACATGCTGTTCCTGTTTTTAGACATCCTTCCCCGCTCTCCTTCTCCCGGCTAACTCAGCCTGACATCATAGATGTCACTTCCTTCATTAACTCTCCAAGTCTGGGTCCATTTCCACATGCCCCATGCTCCTCTGCAAACCATGTTTACACCACAGCATTTACACCCCTAATTATACATTTCAGGGTATTCTGTCCCACCTGTTGGACCAGGAAGAAGCCCATGAGGGTTCCTGTCTGGTTCATATGAAACCCTAGCATCTGGTACCTCGTAGGCACTCAATAAACATGTACTAGGTAAGGGAGTATTATGGACTGAATGTTTGTGCCCCCCTCTAATTCCTATGCTGAAGCCCTGCCCCCAATGTGATGATATTTGGGGGTGGAGCCTTGGGAAGTAATTAGGCATAGATGAGATCCTGAGGGTGGGGCCCCATGACAGATTAGTGTCCTTATGAGAATAGGAAGAGACCCAGGCTCGCTCTCTGCTGCATGAGGTCTCTTCTAGAAGGTGGCTGGCTGTCTTCAAGCCAGGAAGCTTGTCCTCACCAGAAACGGAAGCTGCCGGCACCTTGACTTTGGACTTCCCAGCCTCTGTGAGAAATAAATGTTGTCACCCCGTCTACGGTGTTTTGTTACGGCAGCCTGAGCTGACTAAGAAGGAAGAAGGAACCTGGTACATGAAAGGTACCAACAGTAGTAACTTCCATGAATGAATGAGTGAGTGAGCACAGGGATGCTAAAGCCATTTCGCCCCTGGAGCAGGCTAATGAAGCAGCTACTAAGGGGGGGTGGTGTCGGCCCTGTGGGCACCCCTGTAGGGCACTGATCCAGAGGCTGAGAGGTCTCGGCTGACACTGCCCCGGGGCTGGAGGCCTGGACACTACTGTCCCATGGACGGGGTCCCTGGGTGGCTCCAGGGAAGGCCTCCTTTACTTCCAGGCTGGGATCCTAGTCTAGGAAGGGAGTCCCTGAGTTGGTTACACAAGGGGGAACATAAGGATCCCAAAGTGGGGCCCCAATTTAGGACACCACTGAACTCTATAGCCCCATACAGCAGCTTTTCAGTAGAAAATACCCCGAGAACAAAATGCCCCAATTGGTGAAATGGTCAGTAAGGTAAACCATGAAGAACTGAAATATGTTCATAAAAGCCCCAAGAGAATCCAGGAGGTATTTAAATAAAATAACCTTCAGTGGGAAAAGACCCACCAGTTTACAATAGCAAAATATGGATATGTGTGTTTAATGAAGTGAGAACGTGAAGGAATGGGGACTGTCAAGTTAGGGGAGACTTTTTTCTTAGTGTCCTTGGAGTATTTTGTAAGTTTTCTGCATAATGACAAATGGTTCCGGTTGACTGTTGGCAATGTGCAACATCCAAAGAATATTCTAGATGTTCCCACAAACCCCTCTCCGGCAAGAATAGGGACCCAGGGCTGGGGTCTCCTGTGAGCAGCCTGTGGTTGGGCCCTGAGCTCCGGCAGCCTCCCGCAGCCCAGATGACAACCAGGCTACGCTCACTTAAGGGCTGGGCCCAAGGGATCGACCTCGCCTGAAACCCCCTTTCTCTTCCTGCCGGACCTTGGACTTGTAGTTTAAATTGGGGCTTCCTGTCGCCAAACTTGATTTCTTTATGAGGGAAACATAATCTCTCCAGCACTGGGCTTGGAAGAGCATGCAAATCAGCCTAACAGTGCATTGTTTTGTGAGTTCTTGTCTTATGCAAAACCTCCTCCTGAAATAAATTAGTCATCCTGTTAGCCAGAGGTGGAGGAGAAGGTGTGGGGTGTTGGGGGTGGGATCAGGGGATGGGGCTCCGTATCAAATGGGATGAAGTGTTCGCGACTGGCCTTCCCGGCTTTCCCTGCAGTGACCAGGGTCACCTGGAGGCCCCACGGTCCTCCCCGGTCTCCTCCGCGGCCAGCAGATGGCGACACACACAGGCCCTGGGACCCGAGTGCAGCCTGCTGGGGGTGCTTGAGCCGGCTGAGGGTCTGGTTGACTTTTCGCTACCACACCCCACTGCTCCTTCACGCCTTCTAGGGTCAAGTCCGGGGACGCATGAATTTGACCTTTCTTCTCAAGGGTGACCTCTGCAAGGACAAGAGAGGCTCCTCTAAGAGCCGTCCGCAGCCCCTCGCTAGCCAAGTCCTCTCAGCAGAGTGTTCCTGGCTGGGAATACTGAACCAGTGCTGGGAGAGAAGGAGGGACGGCGGGAGAAAGACAGAGAGGAGGGAAGGAGGAAGGGAGGAAGGAAGGAAAAGAAAGAAAAACTAAAGAAAGTTATACGTGCGCCGTACAAAATCAGGTTTGCAAGTGAACCATTCCATTTTGTTTTAACTTTAATTTTTAAAATATAGTAATTCAGCCATCACTTTCTTTTCATCTAGATGTTATTCAAAATTTCGGGGTGAAAAGAGTGCAGCTCCAGGAGCCCAGGGTTAGAAGTGAATGGGCGCCCTGAGTCCTGGGGAGCTTTGATAAGCAAATGCAGCCCCGCGCTGCCGCGCTCCATTGGCTGTCCCGTCACTGCCAGATTTTGACACAAATAATCAGATTGAAAATCAGGGAGGGGAACAGAAGGGGGGGCGGGGGGGGAGAAAGGGAGAGAGAGGGAGAGAGAAAAGGAGAAGTATCTATTTGTGCGGAGAGTCACAGAATTGACAGTCGAGCCAGTCCCCAGAGAGTGGCTGTGAGGTCCCCACCACAGGACCAGGACCCGCGGGGCTCACGACAGGTAAGTGCTGTGGAACTCGTCCCTGCCTCTCCTTTTCCCATTTGCATGTCTGACTTAGATTGTTTCTAGGCAGGTTAGTTACCTAGTCCCTTTTGCACTTCTGGGAAGAATGAGGTGTGCCGGCAAATCCCTCTTATGGGATGTAGCTTTCAGCCCTTGACCCGGGGAACAGCGGGGATGAGGAGACTGTCTGAGATGCTGGGAGCCGGCACAGTAATCACGCCTCTCGACGAGAGCACATGAACACCCCTTTCAAAACTGTTTTAGATGGACAGATATCACCTGCATGCACGATGTCATACCCAACCCCAGCTGTCCCAGGACCCGGGCAGCGCGTGGCATGACACACGCTGAGGAGCTTGGGTTGGCGCCCCACCTCGGCACGATGTGTCCCTGTCCCTGGGGGCACTCTGAGCCCTGCTGTTGTCTATAAAGTAGGAGAGGGATTGAGAGAACTCTGCAGGAAGTTCCAGCCCAGCGTCCCACAGTCCCAGACGATCTTCACCCAAGTTCCTGGGACGAGGGTGAGATGCCCTCTCATCCAGAGCCTACTGAGGGGAGCAGGAGGCTGCCCTCTCCACGGCACACCGTCACCCCTGCCCCCCAACCTCCAGGAACAACAGCGCTGTCCATGGGGAGTGGTGTCACAGTCTTTTTCTACCTTTTCGGGGGGAGAAAAAGCAAGTTCAAGTATGGGCGTTTGGGGAGAGGTGCTTTAAAATAGGGCTTGTTAAGGGGGGATGGTCCACAGAATCACCGTGGGTACGTGCGTGGGCACATTCTTCTGGGGAGAAAGTCCACAGCTTTCGTGAGCTGCGGGGGGAGGGGTTCGTTCGTAGTCTCTGGACGTGGACCTGAGCTGTACCTGCCCTCCAGGCCTCCTGGCTCCTGCATGCTGCTTAGTGGGCAATGGGCAGATTTCTGTCTTAGCAGAGTGGCGGGTTTCTTGTCCTCAGAGCTGGCACAGAAGCGATTCTCGGATAAGGAGATGAGTGAGGTCTCTCCCAACTCAGATTTGGGAGTCAGTGTATACGCTGGTTTCCTTTGCAGAAAGTTCTTGGGGGGCATCAGAAAGCTACCGGGGTTGGTTAGATTGGATTGATGGAGTCACTCAAAACCCGAGCAGACCATTTTCTCGAGGTTTCAGGAGGGCGGGCTTGGGTGGGGGGCTACTGGAGAGCCGAGGGCTCCCAAAGGCTCTGGGCTGCGGATGTCGTTCACCCCAGATCGCTTCCCAGGAAAAGAGTCTGTTCACATGCGATGCTTCATTGGGACTCAACCACTTAACCCTTTTCAGAAACAACAGAAAACCTTAGCACTCTCCTCCTTAGCCTAGAGGGACGTTTTTGTTCATTTGTTTCCAGGAATTCAAGCCAATGGGAGCGGCTTTAGTCTCTAATGCAGAAATGTTCAGGAAATGTCTCATGCACTCATTTTTGTTTTCACTAAGATAAAATATACATAACATGGAATTGACCATTTTAACCATTTTAAGTGTCTAGTTCAGCGACACAGTGCATTCATACTGTTGTGCGACCATCACCACCGTCCATGTACAGAACTTTGTCATCTTCCCAAACTGAAACTCTGTCCCCATTAAACACTTACTCCCCATCCCTCCCAGCCCCTGGCACCCTCCATTCTATTTTTGGTCTCTATGGAGTTGTCTACTCTAGGGACCTCATATAAGTGGGATCATATGCTATTTGTCCTTTTGAGACTGGCTTCTTTCACCCGTAACGTCCTCGTGGTCCACCTGTGTTGTAGCAGGTGTCAGGATTTCCTTCCTTTTTAAGGCTGAAGAATATCCCGTTGTAGGTATCTATTACACTTTATGTAAGTGTCCAGCCCATTGATGGACACTCGAGTCGCTTCCATCTTTTGGCTTTGTGAATAATGCTGCTGTGATCATGGCGGTACAAATATCTGTTTGAATCCCTGCTTTCGATGCTTTTGGGGGTACACCCAGAGACACTTTTGAAGTTGCATTCTCTGAACTTAGGAGGAGACATTTGAGAAGTCCTTCCAAGTTTCAAATAAAAATAATGACCACTGTCTGCTCCGGCCCCTAAAATGACCTGGGCTCACTTCCGCTGGCTCCTACATGGAAAGGTTTTTTTTTTTTTTCTTTTTCTTTGTTTGTGTTTCCCCTTAAGCCACTTCTTTAAACATAAAGGAAGTCCAAAGGGTCCTCGGTAGCTGACTCTGAGAAACAACGGAGTCTTACCCAACCCTCCCAAAAAGGGAACCCAAGTGATGAGCTTCTCAGTCAAGGTGGGTCAGTCCCGCGCTCAAGGTCAACGAACCGAGCATGGGATTTTAGAGCAAAAGGGAAGTGTAGAAATCTTAGCCCAACCGTCCCTTTTGAGAGATAGGAAAACCAAGCCCCAGGTTGGTGGCTGATGTGGTGAAGCCCGAGGTCGCAGAGTCACACAGCCCCACAGAAGCCCGCCCGAGGCACCCCTGTGTAGGAAAATCACAGACCTGCTGCTCCCATTCCACATGGAAGTTGGGGTACAGGGCCACCCCCACACATACTTCAAACACTTCAGCCGAGATTCTGACTCAGGGTCAGGGGACCCTCTATCAGGACTGGGGGTTTCTGAAGAGATGTTACCAGTGAGTCTCTTTCCGGAGTCCGATACCATCAAGGCCTCTGTTTTATGAAGAAATCTTGGGCTTCTTTCATAATCTCTGCTCTGAGCTCTTTCTCAGAACGGGTTCATGTGAATCAAAACGGTGTGGTTGTTAATTAACCATCATATAGGTGATTGGTTCCTGTTCTTTTGTTTGTTTTATTTTGTTTTTTAAACTCAGCCAACAGGGGCCAAAAGGAAGTTCTCCGAGTGCAGGTGGCCCCCACCGTGAGCTCATGAACCTGGGAGTGTTATTGTGTGTCGCCCTGAGCTCAAATCAGCAGACATCTAGGGTTTCCTTGGGCTCTGAGCCCAAGGGAAGACCAGAGCTTCCCAACGGAAGCCCGTTTTCTCTCACCTGCCTCTCACCAAAACTCTTCAGGGACCGATGTCAGGCCTTCTGGGTTCTGGAAAAGAGGCAAAAACCAGAGGGATTTGAATTTCCCACCCCCTTGCCCCAGCCACCAGCCTCCCCTCCCTGCTCCAGGCAGGCTGTCTCCATCCAGTGCTGAAGGGACCACAGGCACGATGGGCTGAGCACTGGGCCAGAGGCCAAGTCCTCGCAGGACCGGGGCACAGGCCTGGGTCGGCTGCCGGGCTCTGGCAAGCCACCTCCCTCTCTCAGCCTCGGCGTCTCCCGTGACCTGGGAAGGCAGTCTCTGCTTCTCTTACCCCAGTGAGTGATGGATTTGGATTCAATGACATAATGCACACCAGGGAGCTTTAAATGTTGTCCCATTTTCCTCCTTAGCAGGTCAGCCCGGTTCTCTCCAAACTAAGTGCCCACCCCATGTCTGGCGGTCAAGAGCATGGAGGCCTGGATGACCGAGTCCCGCTCCACCTGCTCTGCCCTGAAACTGTGGATGAATCTATCGGTCTCAGTTCCTCCTCCATAAAATGGGGTGATAGGGACCCAGCTCACTTGTCAGGATTAAGGGAGCCGAGACTAAGCAGATCACAGCTACAAGGATTTCCTGGAGCTTGGCACAGTGGCTTTCAGGTCTGCCTTTGGTTCTAGTTGATGTACTAGTAAAATATTATGTGAAAAAAAAAATCATCTTTTGCTAGAGAGAGACCGTGGTCCTCGGAGGCCCCCCAGGACAGGACAAAGGGCACGGGGACCCCAGCTCCCTAACCCTCTCCCAGTACGTGGGCGTCTCCTCTCAAGCTGCCCAGGGTCTGGCCTCCCCATGGGGCTCCTGAAGCCAAGAGCTAGAAGGGGGAAGGAAAGGGGCTGTGGGGAGCCCCACAGTGATGGGGGGTGGCAGGAAGAAGACTGTCCCAGGAAGATAAGGCCATTGCGGGCTGCCTGACAGGCCTGGGGAGGACTGCAGGCCACGCGAGGCTGTGAGGTCAAAATCTGAAGCCGGACGGGACCTCAGAGGCCTTCAAGTCCCACTCCCCATCTCAGAGCCCCCGAGGGGCGAGGGCCTGGTGCATGTCCCCTGCTCCTCATCCAGGGCTTGTTCCCATCCTCAGAGTGTGGGCTGACCGCCATCGCTCAGCGCTCTGCAGCCCAGGCACCATGGGGGCACTGTGTACCCTCATTTGTAATAAAGGTCCTTTCATCCCCCAGCAATCTCTGGTTGGGTGGTGATGTGAACACTGAGGCCTGCGGCAAGGAGGACCAGGCCTGGGCTGGCCCCCAGGCAGAGTGGCCTCAGCCCAAACTCCTGATGTCCCTGGGGCCTCTCAGCACGGTTGGGGGGCCTCTCAGCACGGTTGGGGGTCTCTCTTCTGCCTGACTCTGGCTCATCCCCTTGGAGAATGGGTGGCTCCCTAGCCCTGCTCCAAAGGCAGAGCTCCAAGCTGCCCTCTATAATCTGCCTGCTCCAGTGTGGCCTTATCTCCAGGCCCTCGCTGTTGTTTAGAAGCAGCCGTAATCCCTTTCCCGCGCTTGGCCCTATCACCCCGCAGCCCTGCATGGGGGCTGGCCCCAGGCACAGGGACTCTGGAGGCCTGGGGCATGAGACCAGCAGACCAGCAGAGTAGCCCACAGAACGGCCCGGCTGAGGATCTCCTCTGAGCTTCCTCCTAGGCTCAGCGGCGTGGGGGTGGGGAGGAGTGGGGACCACCAGGCGCCGCTCTCTGCTTCCCAGGACTCCCGGGAACAGGGATGCGAAATGTTTTCGGGGGCGGGAGATGCTCCCAGCCCCACAGGGCTCTGCAGGGGAAGCCCTGCTCTGCCACGCCTCTATACTTGCCCGGGACAAAGGGCAGGTCTCTTCCCTGATTTGGTCCTCAGAGTCTCCCCAAAGCCCTGACCAGCAGGTTCAGTGATGGGCTCAGCTCCTGGGGTTGGAGGACACTGGCCTCTTCGTCCATGTCTACAAAGCCCTCAGGCCTCCTGGTGGGGTGGACTGGGGGTCCTCTCAGCCTTGGGCCCCACACACAACTCCAACCTTCTTACCCCTGGGGGGGAGGGGAGGGAGAGAGGGAGAGAGAGAGAGAATATCCTCCCTCTCTGGGGACCAGGCTTTGGGCTGGGGCCATGGTCAAGGTGCAGCCGTGCTCTGGCTGCACCAGCTTCCAGCTTGCACAGTAACATGGATTTATGATGGAGGTGGCCCCCACTTGCTGCAGCCCGCCCGCCAGGCCCCCCTTTGACAGGTAGTGAGCACATAGGATTCTCTCACCAGTGCTATAAGCCTAGATGCCCCACTGGGCAGAAGAGGGACTAGAGAGGCCCAGAGAGGTTAAGCGTCTGCCCCAAAGTGCACAGCAGGTGAGCTGGGATTCTAACTCATGAGCCTCTGACGCCACAAGCTGAGCTGAGACCACCCCTCTCTGTGACATCCGAAGGCACATCCACCTAGGATGCAAATGCAGGTTTCCAGGTGCGGGGTCCACAGTGTGTCTCACATGGAGACCCCCCTGCCTCCCTTCTCTGGGGCATGCAGACAGCAGCAGCCTGGCCCGGGGGCTTTCTAGAGGTTGCTCTGTTCTTTTCCTAGCAGTAGTGAGGGAGGTTAGGATTTATAGTTGCCGTAACGAAGGACCACAAACCGGTGGCTTAAAACAACAGAAATGAATTCTCTCGGGGCTCTGAGGTCTCTAAAACCAAAGTCAAGGTGTCAGTAAGGTCAGTTCCTTCTGCAGGTTCTGAGGGTGCGTACATTTCATGTCTGTCTCCTTCTGGTGGTCACCAGCAATTCCGGACTTGTCGCTGTAATACTCCACCTCCACGTGGATTCTCCTGTGCATCTGTGTCTAGGTGCTCAAATGTCCCTCTTCTTATAAGGGGACTAGTCATATGGGATTCAGGGTCCACTTTCACCCCGTATGACCTCGTCTTCACTTGATCACATCTTCTGAGACCCGAATTCTAAATAAGGTCCCAGTCACAGGTTTTGGGTGGACATAAACTTTTGAGGGACACTACTCAACACAGGAAAGTGGATTCTGACCTCAGGAGGAGGCTCTAAAATACAGAGGAAAACTGTCCTCTTATCCCCCAACCGTTCTCCCTCCCCCCTTGTAGGTGTGGGGTGCACGCTGACAATGCCACGCTCCTTCCTGGTGAAGAGTAAGAAGGCTCACACGTACCACCAGCCCCGCGTCCAGGAGGATGAGCTAGTCTGGCCTCCTGCCCTGAGCCACGGTGAGTCAGGGCACGGGCTGGCCCCCCACTGTACCCCCTGGGGCTCCCTGCCCTGCTCCTGTGATGGGGATGCAGTCGCAGCTCACTGGAAACAGCCCCCCTTCCAGGCGTGGGAGCGGGAGCTCAGCCCGTGTTGGCTGAATGAATGTCCCCGTTTGGGACAATGAGAGCATCAGAGTGGAGCTGGTCCTAATAGCTCCAGGTGAGGACGTGGGGGTCCTAGATGGGGGTCCGATATAGGGCCAAGGTCAGGTGCTCGGAAAAATACGAGACTGGACCAAGAGTCCTCCAAGGGGGTCTCCTACTGGCCTCCACCCAGCTCCCTCATCCACCCAGCTCCCTCATCCACCCAGCTCCCTCATCCGAGTGTCAGCAGCCAGAGGCAGCAACAAGCAGCTCTCTCTCTGGGTCCCCCTCCTCTTGGGGAGGGAGTCCTCCCCCTGACTCCCCCTGGGCTCCCCAGGGCTGTAGCTGGTGGTTGAGGGTCTTGTCTCTCTACAGTGGCCAGGGACCAGGTCCTGAGCAACGATCCTGTTCTCAACACCCTGTTCCCGAATCAGTGCCTGGACTGGACCAACCTCAAACAGGAGCCGGAGCTGGAGCTGGACCAGAGCTTGACCAGGGCGGCCTCGGCACCAGGTACCTGGCCCCAGACCGCCGGCCATTCCCAGCGAGTACAAGGGGAATGGAAGGTGAACGGGCTCCTGGAGGCCAAGACCCTTAGAGCCATGGAGTCAGGGGGGACCAATAGGTCACCTGGATGCAATCTGGGTCTCAGGCTTCTGCTTGGTCCCCTCCTGGACGGGAGCTCATTTCCAGATGAGACTTCATTGTGGGGTTCAGGGGGAGCAGCTGGGCAGGCTGATGAAGTGGGTGAGGTGGGCACTCTGGGGTGGGGACGCTTTGGGTCTGGAAAAGCCTGAGGAGCCGCAGTGAGGACCCAGACCCCCCACAGTAAAGATCTGAGACTCAAACACTGAGATCCTATTAGATTCAGAAAGTGGGGACCCGATTTTTAAATGAGTCACCACCAGGCATGTGTCCCGCTCTCCACAGAGGGTCCTGCTGTGATATTCCGACGCCAGGACGGGGACTCACCGTCCTCCGACTCACCCCCGTTCTACAAGCCCAGCTTCTCCTGGGATGTGCTGGCCTCGTCCTACAGCCACAGCTACCGGCAGGCCCCCTCCACCATGCAGTCCGCCTTCCTGGAGCGCTCCGTCAGCCTGTACGGCAGCCCTCTGGTGCCCAGTACCGAGCCGCCCCTGGACTTCAGCGTCCGCTATTCCCCAGGCATGGACACGTACCACTGCATCAAGTGCAACAAGGTGAGCAGGGGTGCGGGGGGCTCGCGGGCCCTGCTCTGCATCCCGTCCCTGGCACGTTGGCAGTGGTGGGTGTCCACAGCTGGGTGTCCCCTGTGCTGTGCATCTTGGGACCTCCGGTGGGATCAAGGATTCACAATGTTTGTCCTCACCGCTCATTGAGCCCTGACCATGTGTGTGTATGCCGGGCCCAATGCTAAGCCCTTGACATGCATGAGCCCTGGGAGGTGGACAAAGGGCTACGGTTCAGAAAAGTTGAGTCACCTGCCCAAGAACACACAGCAAGTAGATATCAGAACCAGCATTCCAACCTGGCTCTGGCCAACTCCAGCTCTTAACCACTAAGCTATGCAGCCACTAGATAGGACTGGGGAGGGGGAGCCTTACAGATCCCCGCAGCCCCCATTTTATAGAGAGGAAACCCAGCCACAGAGAGGGACAAGGACCTTTCCAGGACATACAGCACACGCCCCAGAACCGGCAATTCAGGGCTTCCTCTCCTATACGCCCATCTGTGCCTGGAGCTGGGCACGGAGTGGGGGTGGAATGGCCATGGACCCCGGCCCAGCTCCCTCTCTTCCCCCAGTGGCCTCACACTCTGCCCCCAGGTGTTCTCCACCCCACACGGGCTTGAAGTGCACGTCCGTCGCTCCCACAGTGGGACCCGGCCCTTCGCCTGTGACATCTGCGGCAAAACCTTCGGCCACGCCGTGAGCCTGGAGCAGCACACACACGTCCACTCCCAGGTGGGCAGCTGGCCAAGCACAGCACCCCTATTCCCCCTCCTGCTCTGTGCTCCTCCCGGGAAGCCCAAGAGACTATGGCTGGTCTGTCACGCTGGCCCTGAGGGTGACACAGATCGGGGGTCACTCGCTATCTGCCTCCCAGTCTGGGTCTCCAATACTCACTCTTAACACACTTGGCTTCACACACAATTGGAAGAGACTCTTGGCCCAGGTGAGATTCCGGGGGCTGCACAATGTCTGTGACGCTCAGAAACGGCTCTGCCCCTGGGTGTCAGGGCAGGTGTCCTCACCTTTGAGGCCCTCCAAGTCTTAGAATCCTGGCGTCAGGCTTAAATGTTCGTCTCATCCCACTTAGCCCTACTTGAGGCAGAAACCCCTTCTTTAGTATTCCATTCCGGGGAAGCACCTGCAGCTGACCTGAGTCGCTAACACCTGGGCAAATATAAAAGCTCAGGTGGGACACGCAGAAAATAAACGCGAGAGCTTCTATTTGTGAGCACGTGCCAGTTGCGGGCTCAGATGACCTCCAGCCCTCCTGACGGCCCTTTGAGGTCATCACTGTCACAGACGAGGAAGCCGAGTGTCAGGGAGGCGAAATGACTTGCCGACCGTCACATGGCTAGTAAGAGGCAGAAGCCAACACCGGGCCCCCAAAACCCAGACTCTTAACCAAACCACTGTGCAGCCCATGACCATCCCTGTGTCAAGGAACTCACTCAAGGGACCTGAAATGTGAACCCCCGAAAAAACTCCTAGATCAGCTGGTCCATCAGTCAGTCAACAAATATGCATTGAGGTTTATTGTGAAAGTCACAAGGAAAAATCCCACAGGAGGCCACTCAGGCCCCAAGCCTCAGCCCCTCCTGGGAGGCAGGAACGGGGGAGCCCTGGGTCCTGCTCCTCCAGGCCCTGTCCTCGAGGCCACCCCAACAGAGTGTCCTGTTCCTCAGGGGATTCCGGCCGGGTCCAGTCCTGCGCCCAGCTTGGCAGTCCCGGGCCACGAGGCCCCGCCTGCGCCTGACCCCCCGGGGCCTGGTTTCCTCCGGCAGGAGCGCAGCTTCAAGTGTCGGATGTGTGGCAAAGCCTTCAAGCGCTCGTCCACGCTGTCCACCCACCTGCTCATCCACTCGGACACTCGGCCCTACCCTTGCCAGTTCTGTGGCAAGCGCTTCCACCAGAAGTCGGACATGAAGAAGCACACCTACATTCATACTGGTGAGGCCGCCGGCCCAGCACTCACCCCACCCTGCCTGAACCCCCCGGCTAAGCCCCCACCCCCTGACGCCAAGACCCCCAAGGGCCCAGGCACAGCCTCTGGGCACCCCTATCTTTCACTGTTAAAAGGTCCCAGCTTTAGGACGAGGGTGGGATCAAGTTACACAGTGGAGGGCTGCCTTCCAACAGGAGGGCTGGACTCACTGTGTTATTTAAGTTCACATAATGCATAGAAAAAGTACTGGACGGAAACAGCATAAGTCAGCACTGGTGCTCTCTGGGTAAACATGAGACGAGCAGGTGAATTTCTCATTCATCCATCCATTCATTCATCCATTAATTCCTCGACTATTTTGCACCAGGCCCTGTGCCAGGCGCTGGGCTATATTGATGAACAAGAGGACCCAGTCCCTGCCCTAACCCGGATACAATCCAGTGGGGTGGGGGTATCAGAGTTGTATGTTTTGCTTGTCTCCCTTTTCTAATGGTTTTCTAAAGTGAATGTGGGTTGGCCGTGAGATAAAATGTAATCAGGTTTGGAGAACAAAAGCAGGGCATCGGGGCAGCAGGCCTGGCACAGACTGCCCTGACCAAGTCCTTGCTGCCCCACAGGTGAGAAGCCACACAAGTGCCAGGTATGTGGAAAGGCCTTCAGCCAGAGCTCCAACCTCATCACCCACAGCCGGAAGCACACGGGCTTTAAGCCCTTCAGCTGTGAGCTCTGCACCAAAGGTTTCCAGCGCAAGGTGGACCTGAGACGGCACCGCGAGAGCCAGCACAACCTCAAGTGAGGCTGCGCCCGTTCCCGGCTCCTGGCCCGCCTGTCCTGAGGTCCCGTCACTAGGAGGAGGCCAGCCTCACGCACCCAGATCCCCAGTCTCCTGGAGGCAGCGCTGGATGGGAGTCTTCCAGTTTGTGTTCAGACTTACGAAAGTGCTGTGTGACCTTGGGCAAATAGCGTTCCCTCTCTGGACCGACATTGCTTCTGCTGCCAAGTGTGGGCGCTGGGTTGGGTCTTTTCAGAGCTGAAGTTGTCTACAGGTGTAAAAACTTGGGTGCCTTCCCCAGGGCAGAGCCCAGAAGGCCAGAGTAGCCCCAAGTGGACAGGGATGCCAAGAATAGACCAGAGCTGGGACCCACAGAGATATCCTTCCCCTGCCTGCCGCCCACCGTGCTGGGGTCTGGTCCCCTTGGTTTTTAGCGGGCCTCTTTCAGATTGCCACAGATGGTGAGAGCTGCCTCCTGCCCCAGTGGGAGGCCTAGCACCCCTCTGCTTTAGCCAGACATGCTGGCTGCGCCCCACTTCTGACCTGCACTCAGCTGGCCATGGGAAGTGGTCTGTGTGTGTGTGTGTGGGGGGGCAGTTTCCAATTCTGCTGTCTGACCAAGGGGCTGTAGAAACCAGAAGTTATTGCTGTCCAAAGCCTGTTCCCCTCAATTGCTGTAAATGGAAATAAAGACACAGATTTGTTTACATTTGACCAGTATTTATTAAGTGCCTCCTGGGTGCAAGCCAGTGGGTGAGCTTTGGGGAGCTGGGTAGCTTTGAAAGCAGAGGGGTGGTAGGGAGCTTTGAAAGCAGAGCATGCTAGGCAGTTGCTCTCAGATGAGTTGGGAGACGTGTGCCCAGGGCAAACGGGGAGGGGCTGGACCAGAAGCATAGAGATGGTGCAGCAAGACCACACGGAAGGACAAGGTTAAAGCTGGGGGCTGTATCAGTGTCCTGTGGCTGCTGTAACAAATCACCACAAACAATACAAATCTATTCTCTTACAGTTTGGAACTCAGAAGCCCAAAACAGGGCTAAATTCAAGGTGTCAGCAGGGTGCACTCCCTCTGGAGAGAGACTGCTTCCTCATCTTTTTTTTTATTATTATTTTTATTGGGTAACTGTTTTTCCCAGGACCCATCAGCTCCAAGTCAGGTTGTTGTCCTTCAATCTAGTTGTGGAGGGTGCAGCTCAGCTCCAAGTCCAATCGCCGTTTTCAATCTAGTTGCAGGGTGTGTGTGGGGGGGGGCGGGGGGGCAGCGCAGCCCACCATCCCATGTGGGAATCGAACCAGCAACCTTGTTGTTCAGAGCACGCACTCTCACCAACTCAGCCACCCGGCCACCCTCCTCCATCTTTTTTATATTTCTAAGGCCACTCACTGCATTCCCCAGCTGGTGGCCACTCCTCCATCTTTAAAGCACATAGCTCTGACCCCTGCTTCCAGCATCCCATCTCCTCCTGCGTTCACCTTCTCGCCTCCCTCTTAAAAGGACCCTTGTGATCACATTGGGCCCACCTGGCCCACCCAGACTGTTTTCCATCTCAAGGTCTTATTTAATCGCTGTGGCAGGCTGGGTAATGGCCCCCAAAGAGGGTCCCTGGAACCTGCGGGTGTTATATTAAATGACAAAAGGGACTATGCAGATGTGATTAAGTGATGTCTGCCTCCGCCCCTCGCTAGCTGTGTGACCTCAGGTTGGGCTCCATCCCCTGTAAAATGGTGAACAGTCCCCTCCTGTGGGTTGTGGGGAGGATTCCCGGAGACTGTATGTGATGAACAACAGTACGCAGGGCCCAGCACAGCGTACGCACGAGGCCCACTTAAACGCCACTTCCTGGGTCACTCCAGCCAGAAGTTCTTCTCCTGCCTCTGAACACAGCTCCTTTGGGCTCCTCGCTTACGGCTCAGGACCCACTGAACCTGAACTGGCAATTATCTCTGGGTAACTTTCCCCTCTGCTAGAAGGCATATCCTGGGCTCCAGCCCTCAGCACCAAGCCTGGTCCTGGCCCCCAGCAATGGACATTTCTAAACGTTCACTTCTGGATACCAAGCTGGTTTCCACACATTGTCTCTAACCTGTGCAAGGAGGTATCCTTATCCCATTTTAAGAGGGGCAACTGAGGCTCAGGGAGGTCAGCCAACTTGCCCAAGTTCACACAGAGGGCAAGTGCAGAGCCGGGATCAGGATATCTGCTTCCAAGTCTTCGACCCTCCATTTACCCGTCCTCTCAATGACACCCACAGATGTTTCCTCTAGTCCTCGCCTCTGCTGTGAACCTATGGGGTTCTGAGGCCCTTTGGGAAATGGGGACTCCCGGGCTCTGGGTTTGACTGGGCAGGACCCCAATGGCACACTTCATTCCAGAGGCTCTTCCTGTTTACCTTAGCCAGAATTCCCCTGAACCAACCTGTCCGGGGTGCAAAGGGTGGGGTGGGGGTTTGAGACTTGCAGAGGAAGGGGGTCTGGCCTCCTCAGTCACCTCCCAGTTCATGACTCTTGAAGTCAGAGGACGAGGGCCTCTAGCAGCCAGCACACCAGAGCCAACAAAGCCCTGGAAACCCCCTGCCCTTCCTCCTCCTGTCCATGGAGATGTGAAGCCCAGAGAGGGGAAGGGACTTGCCCAAAGCCACACAGCCAGGCCTAGAATGAGCTCTCCTGACCCCTGGGTGAGGGGCCTCACCCTGCACCTCCTACGTCTGGGGAAGTGTGAGGGTAGGTGCTGGGGACGTGCGCGTGCACACATACGCACGCTTGCACATGCACACACACACATGTGTACGCACACACATGAGCATGCACACACATGGAGGAGCTGCTTTGCATGCTCCTCCTTTGCTAAACAAAACCACGCCAATATCAGGATTTCAGCCACTTCTGCAATAGAGCAGGGCCATGAACTAGACAATGGGTCTTTCTTCATCTGCTGAGGTTCCAGATCAGGATTTAGCTTGGGGCCCCTCCATGGAGTGCCTACAATGGTGTGGCGGTGGAGGGGGAGCACTGCAACCTCAGAGCAATGGGGTCTGGCACCCCATTTGCACATTGCAGAGAAAGGGGGCCAGTGGGCAGGTATGGGGGGCTCTGTGACATCTGCTTCCCCAGGAGGAGTCAGCACTGCATAGAAGGGCAGGGCTAGGGTTCCCCTCCTGGCCCCCCTCACAGAAGGCAGTCATGGAGGTGGGGAGCTACTCAGAGTGCACCCAGCTCAGTTGCCCTGAGTGGGAGGCAGTGCCGCTGCCCCTTCCCCGCCCCCACCCCTCCGGGGCTGTCACAGGCAGAATGGCCTTCACAAGCAGAACTGGGGAAAGCTCTCAGACAGCGCCAGCCCACAAGCCAGTAGGAGCAGAGCTCCCTGCCAAAGTTCTTTCCCTTTCAGGATACGGGGTCCAGGCTCATCACACTGGGACGGGGAGCGGGGGAGGTGATTCAGCAGGTGCAGTGGGGCACCACCCAGCTGCCCTCTGTGATCAGAGGGGGTTCAGTTGTCCCATTTTCCGCCTCCCATCCCTCTTCCACCTCCTAACTGCTGAAATTCCCACCATCTGAGTCGCAGTGTGTGAACTGGAAGGCACTGTCCAGCCCTGTGAAAAGGACACAGCTTCCCTTTGGCACACCAGGGCCCAGAGGCCCAGAGAGAAGTGGTGGCCCTTGTCACACCTCCTGTAGGCAGCAATGTCACACGGAATCCAGGTTTTCCGAGCCCCAGTCTAGTGGCCTTTCCCACCAGCATTGATTGCATGTCACCAGGGGACTCCGTTTACATAGAATATGGCACAAATGGTGGCCGCTGAAGTTGCATGATCAGATTGTGGGGAGGGGGCGGGGAGCCTGTCGCACTTCTCAGACTGCAGCCCTGATCCTGCTGCGAAGGGCTGGGTGGGTGTGGATGCGGGCCTAAATATTCAACACGGGCCCACCCTATGACTCCATCCCACTCCTAGGAGCTTGAGTTAGAGAAATGGTCTTGGGTGGGCACACAGATCAGCTACAGGACCATCTTCTGAAGCCCACTGTTACTGGGGGCTGGGGAAATTGGAACCATCCCTGAACTCTCACGAGAGGAGACTGGCTCTGAGGCTGGCTAGCGAATCAGGCAATGGCGGTCCATGAAGCCATTGAAGGGACACGGTGTGCTTTACAAGGACTGACCTAGAAGGGGCCTGGCGCTGGTGTGGGGTGAAAAATGCTGTTTCAGGATAGCGTGCCAGTTCTGTAAACAGAGCAGAGTGTACATTCGCAGATGCCTACAGAAACAAATCTGAGGAAAGGCCACCAAACCATTGATAGCAGTTGCTTCTGGGGGCCGGGAAGGAGGGCTGGGTTTCACCCCCAATACTATCTGTAAAAGAGACATGGATTTGTATGTGTGTGTGTGTTTCACTGAAAAAAAACTGAAGAGAAAATAGATTTTGCAGAATAAACGTGTCAACATAGGAAGCTGTTCATGATATCTTAAGTGAAAAAGTGGTTTAAAAAAATCAGTATACGCCATATGATTCCATTTTGTGAGTTACACACGCATGGAAGGAAGTTTGCAAGGATAAAGGAGCGGCGTATCAACAGTGGCTGTCACTGCATAAAGGGGGTTGTGCACATTTTTTTTTCTCCTCGTTTTTCAGTATATTTTTCTGTAATGGGCATGCATGATAACATTATCACTGACATTTAAAAAAGCCTCCCTCTGCACAGACACTATTTCCCGGCCCTGGTGTCCCCCGCCCCCACAGCTGGCCTTCCTGGCTCCCGCAGGTGTCCACGCAGGTGTCTACGCACAGCACCACAGGCAGGTTCCTTCCTCCTGCACAAATGCCGGCTGGCTTACCCCAACCTCCAACCCCCATAAGCCACCTCTGGGCAGATACTGGCTCCAATCCTTTGTGTCCTAACCCTTAGCTAGGGCCCAGCACCTAGTAGGTCCCCAATAAGTCTGGGATGGACGCACAACCCCTTCAGGGCCCCTGGTGCCTCCTTGGCAGGTGAAGTGGAGCCCCTGGCTTGGGAGCAGCGGGGGCAGGACACCGGACAGGGAGCTCTTCCCCCGGGCCTTGCAGGAGGGCTGCCCTGTGCCACCTCCCTGGTGCCCAGCTGCGTCGGGCCCCAGCTGGAGCCAGGCAGAGTCCAGAGTTCCAATGGTTTGGGGGTGGGTGGGCTGCAGGGAGGCAGGAGGAGAAAAATCTGAGGCAGGGGCATGTGCTGAGCGGCCGTGCTCAGGTTTGGCCTGATAAGTTTATCAAATGGTGCCGGCTGCCAACCGTCAGCATGGAGCAGGCCAGCGGGCTTGGGCAGGAGGACACTCCCGAGCCGATAGCGCCTTCCAAGTGTTATCAGGGGCCTGGTGGCCCAGAGAGCGGGAGAAGGGGAGCAGGAGAGAGAAAGGGAGAGAGAGAGACTTCCAACCACTTCACCCCAACGACAACAGCCAGGGAGGAAGAGGCCTCTGAGGTTCCTTGGGTGGGGGGATGGGGCTTGACGTCCCAGCCACACAAGCAAACGCAGCTGGGAACTCGCTCTGTGCAGGCACAGGCTAAAGGCCCCATTTCTCCCTGGTCACAGCCTTCCAGGCCGTGGAATGGGGCCGATGCTTCCCAGCTCTTCCTCAAAGCCAAAAGAAAGAGTCTCCTTTTCTGGAAGGTTCCATGCCCCGGGAAGCATGAGAGAAAGCAAGAATGTAGGAGAAAGGGGG